CTGAGCCACCTTGGAAGCCCATTTTATATTCGCCTTTTTCTATCCTTAAAACATATCAAACTTGTTCTCGCCTAAGGTCTTTTACTAGATATTCAATTTTCCTGAAATTTTCCTTGCACTGATCTTACATGGCTGCTTTTTCTCATTTAGATTACAGATCATACTTTATTAGAAAAGACATTTCTGATTACCCAACTGCAAGAAACCATCCAGTCTTTATTACCTTATTTTCATCCTCTATATAGTGCATATTATTAGCTTTTTATGGCAGGGGAAGAAGGGTGCGCATTACTTGATTACTATTCATCTTGCCTACTAGACTGTAAGTTTCATGAGAACAGGCCTTATCCATCTGCTTCAGCACTGTATTTCTAATACCTAAATAAGTGCTTGTTACATGTGTTTTCAGTTGCTCAGTCGTGTCTGACTTCGGCCTGTCAGACTCCTCTGTTCATGGAATTTCCCAGGTAAGAATCATGGATTGGGGGTATCATTTCTTACGCCAGGGGATCTTCCAACCCAGGGACTGAACCCTCGTCTCTCACATCTCCTACATTGGTAGGTGAATTCTTTACCACGAGCACCACCTGGGAAGCCTATCTGTTACACAGTAGATTCTTACTAAGAATTTGCTGAATGAGCAAACGGGTAGAGATAAATCTGTAGGATGGTTGTAAACCTGACTGAGTCTCCTAGTGATTCTGGGGAAAATAAATCAACAAGTCTGTCCCAATGAAGATCTAAGTACCTAGGGAAGTCTTTGCTATCTTCTAGAAAGTGTTCAAGATGTTCCGGAAGTCACCTTATTCCTATAGGCAAGAGTACCCTAAAAAGAGCATGCAGTAAACTGCACTGCCATTCAAAAACTACTGTACTTTCTAAGGGTCTATAAGACATGTATGAGACACTATAAAAAGTACAGGTGAATAAATTGACAGAGTGCCTGTTCACAAGGAGCTTGCAGTTGGTACCTAGCAACCAACGAAAGGCCTTGCTAGAATTCAGTTCAGTTCAGTCATTCAGTCACATCTGACTCTTTGTGACCCATGGACTGCAGCACGCCAGGCTTCCCTGTTCATCACCAACTCCTGGAGTTTACTCAAACTCACATCCATTGAGTCAGTGGTGCCATCCAACCATCTCATCTCTGTCATCCCCTTCTCCTCCTGCTTTCAATCTTTCCCAGCATCAGGGTCTTTTCTGATGAGTCAGTTCTTGAAATCCGGTGGCCAAAGTATTGGAGCTTTAGCATCAGTCCTTCCAGTGAATATTCAAGACTGATTTCTTTTAGGATTGATTGTTTTGATCTCCTTGCAGTCCAAGGGACTCTCAAGAGTCTTCTCCAACACCACAGTTCAAAAGCATCAGTTCTTTGGTGCTCAGCCTTCTTTACGGTCCAACTCTCACATCTACACCTGACTACTGAAAAAAACCACAGCTTTGACTAGACGGACCTTTGTTGAACCTTTCCTTCTTGACCTGCATACAGGTTTTGTAGGAGGCAGATAAGGTGGTCTGCTATTCCCATCTCTTGAAGAATTTTCCAGTTTGTTGTGAGCCACACTAAAGAGGCTCTTTAGTTCCTCTTAGCTTTCTGCCATAAGGGTGGTGTCATCTGTCTATCTGAGGTTACTGATATTTCTCCCGACAACCTTGATTCCAATTTGTGCTTCATCCTGCCCAGCATTTCACATGATGGTCTCTGCATTTAAGTTAAATAGGCAGTGTGACAATATACAGCCTTGATGTACTCCTTTCTCAATTTGGAACCAGTCCATTATTCCATGTTTGATTCTAATTGTAGCTTCCTGACCTGCATACAGGTTTCACAGGAGGCAGGTAAGGTGGTCTGCTATTTCCATCTCTTGAAGAATTTTCCACAGTTTGCTGTGATCCACACAGTCAAAAGGCTTTAGCACAGTCAGTGAAACAGAAGTAGATGTTTTTTTGGAATTTTATTGCTTTTTCAATGCCACAACGGATGTTGGCAATTTGATCTCTGGTTCCTCTGCCTTTTCTAAATCCAGCTTGAACATCTGGAAGTTCTCAGTTCACATACTGTAAGCCTGGCTTGGAGAATTTTGAGCATTACTTTGCTAGTGTGTGAGATGAGCCAGGAGAATTTTGAGCATTACTTTGCTAGTGTGTGAGATGAGTGTAATTGTGCGGTAGTTTGAACATTCTTTGGCATTTGGAACTGGAATGAAAACTGACCTTTTCCAGTCCAGTGGCCACTGCTGAGTTTTCTAAATTTGCTGGCATATTGAATGCAGCACTTTCACAGAACAATCTTTCAGGATTTGAAACAGCTCAACTGGAATTCAATCACCTCCACTAGCTTTGTTTGTAGTGATGCTTCCTAAGGCCCACTTAACTTCATACTTCAGGATGTCTGGCTCTAAGTGAGGGATCACACCATTGTGGTTATCTGGGTCATGAGGATGACCTTTTTTGTATATTCTTGCCACCTCTTCTTAACATCTTCTGCTTGTTAGGTTCATGCCATTTCTGTCCTTAATTGTGCCCATTTTTGCATGAAATGTTCCCTTGAAGAGATCTCTAGCCTTTCCCATTTTATTGTTTTCCTCTATTTCTCTGCACTGATCACTTAGGAAGACTTTCTTATCTCTCCCTGCTATTATTTGGAACTGTGCATTCAGATGTGCGTATCTTTTCTTTTCTCCTTTACCTTCTCTTCTTTTTTCAGCTATTTGTAAGGCCTTCCCAGACTACCATTTTGCCTTTTTGCATTTCTTTTTCTTGGTGATGGTTCTGATCATTGCCTCCTGTGTAATGTTATTTACATCCGTCCATAGTTCTTCAGGCATTCTATCAGATCTAATCCCTTGAATCTAGTTGTCACTTCCATTGTATAATCATAAAGGATTTAATTTAGGTTATACCTGAATGGTCTAGTGGTTTTCCCTACTTTCTCCTATATAAGTCTGAATTTTGCAATAAGGAGTTCATGATCTGAGCCACAGTCAGCTCCCAGTCTTGTTTTTGCTGACTGTTTAGAGCTTCTCCATCTTCTACTGCAAAGAATATAATCAATCTGATTTTGGTATTGACCATCTGGTAATGTGCATGTGCATCCTCTTGTGCTGTTGGAAGAGGGCATTTGCTATGACCAGTGCGTTTTCTTGGCAAAACACTATTAGCCTTTGTCCTGCTTCATTTTGTACTCGAGGCCCAAACTTGCCTGTTACTCCAGGTATCTCTTGACTTCCTACTTTTGCATTCCAGTCCCCTATGATGAAAAGGACATCTTTTTTTTGGTGTTATTTCTAGAAGGTCTTGTAGGTCTTCACAGAACTGTTCAACTTCAGCTTCTTCAGCATTAGTGGCTGTGGCATAGACTTGGATTACTGTGATCTTCAACAGTCTGCCTTGGAAACGAACAAAGATCATTCTGTCATTTTTGAGATTGTACCCAACTACTGCATTTCGGACTCTTTTGTTGACTATGAGGGCTACTCCATTTCTTCTAAGGGATTCTCTCCCACAGTAGTAGATATAATGGTCATCTGAATTAAATTTGCCCATTCTGGTCCATTTTAGTTCACTGATTCCTAAAACGTTGATGTTCATTCTGGCCATCTCCTGACTGACCACTTCCAATTTACCTTGACTCAAGGACCTAACATTCCAGGTTCCTATGCGATATTGTTCTTTATAGCATCGGACTTTACTTCCATCACCAGTCACATCCACAACTGTGTGTTGTTTTTGCTTTGGCTCAGCCTCTTCACTCTTTCTGGAGTGATTTCTCCACTGTTCTCCAGTAGCACACTGGGCACCTACCGACCTGGGAAGTCCATCTTTCAGTGTTATATCCTTTTGCCTTTTCATACTGTTTATGGGGTTCTCAAGGTAAAAATACTGCTGGGCAGGGCCAAGCTCAGTGAATCTTTAATCCAATTTTCTGTAGATGGGTGAGGCTGTGTTCCCTCTCTCAGGCCAAATTATGGTAGGGGTAACTTCCTTCAAAAAGACTTATACCAGCATACCACAACTCCCAGGACTTATGTATTCAGTGCCCTACACCTCACGGCAGGCCGCTGTCGACCCACATCTCCACTGGAGACTCCCGGACAGTCACAGGCAAGTCTGGCTCAGTCTCTTGTGGGGTCATTGCTCCTTTCTCCTTTCTAGAACTGCTACATGCATATTACTTCGAGTATCTGCTTCACAGATGAAAAAGTTGGCCTTAAGTATATTACAAAGGTTAGCAAATAAGAGTATTAAACCTGTTTTGTATCTAGCTGCTTATCCAGTTCTATATTGAAATTTCACATGACTAATTAAAGTTTTATAAGACTACATTATTATTTTTATGTTTTTTGGACCACACAGATCTTTGGAGATCTTAGTTTCCTGACCAGGAACTGAACCCACACACCCTGGGATGGAAATGTGGAGTCTTAACCATGGGATCACCAGGAAGTCCCCATGCTATTATTTTAACAGAACTGGTTAACAGAAGTGTCTAGTTATTAGAGACTTAGCCACATGGAAAGAAATATGTACACTAGTGGATAAACAACAAAAAACTGAAATCAAATTAAATACATGAAAGAGGGGGAAAAAAAGAAAGAATGAATGGTTGCACAGCTCTCTTCTGGTAGTTTTGAGGCACTGACCTCAAAATTTTAATATACTCTTAAGAGTTCAAGTATCAGCACTCCAGTATTCTCAGCATTAGTGAATTAAGAGACAACCTCATAGAAAACAAATGAGACTAAAACCTATATTATATTTGCATTTTTTCTGTAAAAAAGTGTAATCTATGTCTTTGGTCTGGCTTTATATAAAAGCTGAACACTTACTTATAAACACTGCATAATATATATATATATAGCTGCTATATTGCAGTATGTTTTTATTTAAAAAATGAGTTCTGGATAAAAGCTCTGCTATTTCAATAATATACAACTGTTCACATTGTATTAAAACAAATGATACAAAAAAAAAATCATAAAATGCAATAAGTAACATACCATTCCATAGGCCTGCTGTTGGACCCAGATGATATAATCATTCCGTATGTCTATCAATTCTTGTACTTCATGTATATAAAATTTATCATACTGAATAATCTGTCCAGATTTCTCATTTACCTACAAAAAAATAAAAATGTTAATTAACATTAAATTTAACCAGTACCTAAGAAAGAGCCTGAAAAGTATTTAAATAGAAAAAGGTTTTGAGATTTCTTATTTTCTCTTCCTATAAAAAATAATTTACTGAGTGCCTACCGTATGTAAAATGCTAGTTAAGTGCTATGAGAAATACAAAGATTTATAAGATGTGATATCTGTATTTAGTACATCAAAATCAAGTAAAAAATAAAACATTTATGTAACACCACATGAGATATACCATTAAGTATGTATATATGTATATATATACACTATACAAACTAGAAACTATAAAGTCTTCTGATTGAGAATGGAACTTAAATAATAGTTAAGAATAGCTAAAGCTCCAAAATCTGAATGTAAACTCCCCCTTCATCTTTGGCAAACTCTTAAACCATGAAAGCACAAGTGAGACTTGGTGGGGGATATCCCAATGGAAAGCACCAACTTTCTGAGACTACTCAGAGCAGATTTCAAGACAAGACAAGATTTCCAGAGAAAAAAAGGCCCATTTAGTAATGCTAAAAGAATTCATTCATCAAGAAGTCATGACAATCCCTGGGCTTGTGGTAGCTCAGTGGTAAAGAATTTGCCTGCCAGTGCAGGAGGCCCGGGTTTGATCCCTGACCCAGGAAGATCCCACAGGCCATGGAGCAACTAAGGCTGTGCACCACAACCGCTGATGCTGTGCACTAGAGCCTGCACGCTGCAACTACTGAAGCCCAAGCGCCTAGAGCCGATGCTTCGCAACAAGAACAGCCATCGCAACAAAACTGAAGAGTAACCCCCACCCCCACCCCATCCCCGGCTTGCTGCAACTAGAGAAAGTCCACAAGCAACAAAGACTCAGGTGAGTCAAAAATAAGTAAATAATTAATAATAAAAACTCAACTCCAGATTGACTACAGATTAGACTAGCCTGAATCCCGAAACTAACAACCACACAAGAGGTATACAAATTTACAGAAATAAATTCAGCTTTTACTATTTTACAGACATCCAAAATTTGCGAGACATATCCAAAATCAGATAAGTAAATAAAACAAAGGACACGTAAAAAAAAGTCTAAGAGAAAAAGCAATCAACAGAGCCAGACTCAGAGATGACCTAGAGGCTGGAGTACGCAGAAAGGTGCTTTGGGAAGGTATTTTGAACTTATTGAAAATAAAAACAAAGCCGATCAAAATTTGTGGAATGCTGGTAAAGCAGAGCATAGAAGGAAACTGATAGCATTTAATGATCATGCTAAAATAAAAGGTCTAAAATCAATAGCCTAATAAGGTTCAGCTCAGGAATTCCCTGGTGGTCTAGTAGTTAGGACTCAGTGCTTTCACTGCCACAGACTGGGTTCAATCTCACCAACTGTGTGGTATTGCCACCCAAAAAAAAAAAAAAATTCTCAGCTTTAAGAACCTCGAAAATCAAATTAAGGACAATCAAGTAGAGGAAAAGAAAGATAAGAAATACGAAACACTATGGTTTTTAAATTTAATGTTATTAATGAAGATTTACATTTTTCAAAAGAAAAGTCCAGGCCAAGATGGCTTCACTGGTGAATTCTATCAAAAATTTAATAATACCAATCTTAAACTCAGAACACAGAGAAGAGGGATCATTTCTTAATTCATTTTATGATGCTAGGATAACCCTGATGCTAAGAAGCTGATGAGAAACAAAATTTAGCCAATCAACATCCCTAATAAACACAGACACAAAACTCTCAACAAAATATGAGCAAATTAAATCAACAATATATATAAAATAATATAAAATGTCTAAGTGGAGTTCATCCCAGGAATATAACTATTGAGTCAACTAACACAAATGAATTTCACTACATTTCAGGGAAAAAAAATAATAATAATTTGTTCATCTCAACAGATGCAGAAAAAAAGCATCTAACAAAGTTCAACATCCCTTCATAGTAACAACTCTCAGCAAACCAGGAATAGAAAGGAAGTTCTTCAAACAGATAAAGCTAACCTTAAAAACAAAACAAAAACTTTACAGCTAACATCATGCTTATGAGTAAAACATTAAAAACTTTCTTTCTAAGATGAAGACTTAGACAAGAATTGTCCACTGCAACCATTTATATTCAACATTGTACTGGGAAGTCTTAGCCAATTAAATAAGGAAAGAAAATATCATGACTGTGTTCATAAAAAATGCAAATGAATCTAGGAGAGAACTATTAATTTACCAAGGTCACAAAGTGAAAATTCAACTGAATTTCTCCACACGAGCAACAAAACTAAATTTTTCCATACTACTAACAATCAAAACTAATTTTAATTATCATTTATAATAACATAAAAAACATTAAAAATAGAGTTGAGCAGTTATAAGAGAAACCACAAGTTCACAAAGTATAAAACATTACTATCTAAACCTCCAGAGAAAAAGTTTACAATTCTTGCCTTACAGCTTAACTCTTTCTACTACTAAAAGAGAAAATAAACCCAGCAATTACACACAAAAACTCATTGGCTTTTCCTTCTCCAATACTTTTGTATTGTTGTTGTTGTTTAATCACTAAGTTGTGTCCAACTCTTTTGTGATCCCATGGACTGTAGTCTGCCAGACTCCTCTGTCCATGGGATTTCCCAGACAAGAATACTAGAGTGGGCTGCCATTTCCTTCTCTAGGCAATCTTCCAGACCCAGTGTCTCCTGCAAATCTTTACTACTGAGCTACCTAGGAATTAACTATTACATTAGACTCTTTAAAAATTTAATGAATCTTGTTGAAAATGATCCACATCCTATTGACCTCTGATGTATTTTTATCTGAAACATTTATTTTAAAAGGTAAACTGCAGTTTCCCTCACCAGTAGCAACCAGTGTTTATAGCTTTTATATCATGCAGATATGACATACGTTTTTGATAAGACATGCTATGTTAGAATGTGTGTGTATATATGCCCTCAGTTGTGTCCTACTCTTTGCAACTCACTAGACTGTAGCCTGCCAGAATCCTCTGTCCATGGAATTTTCCAGGCAAAAACATTGGAGTGGGTTGCCATTTCCTACTCTAGAGGATCTTCCCAACTCAGGGATCAAACCCATGTCTCTTGTGTCTCCTGCTTTGGCGGGTGGATTCTATACCACTGAGCTGCCTGAGAAGACCATCAAGTTAGAATAAAAACTAACAATTTAGAAATCAGGTTTCATTCAGGAACAGACAAATTTCAGTCAAACTTAAGACATGGGGGGAAATGATGGTTAACAGTTAATTCACTCACAATGATTTAATAACTAAAGACAAAATCAGTTGTTAGTCTTTTAAAAATAGAGAAATATTTAGGCACTGAATAGAAGACCGATCCAGAAGACCTGTATACAGATTTACACATAAAACCAACGGTTTTAAAAACTATAAATAAAAATACACTTGTATGGAAGGTAACACTGACGAGGCATTATTTTCTTCAGGAAGTCTTCTTTAATTCTTTTGCGTTATATGCCCTCCTATGTGTTTCCACAGCACCCATCCTTTTGCTTAATCTACACTTACCATGCTATACCATAAACAATTATTTATTTGTATTATACAACTGGTCCACATTTACAATCTTAACAAGGGCAGAAATCACATCTTTTCCTTATAACAGCATCACTAAAGCTTATAACTGCACCAAATATGCACACAGTAGGCACTCAGTAAATGTTTGTAAAATGAATTTTAAAAATTACATGACAGAAGTTCAAAACAACCTACACATTCAATACTGCTGTCTAAAATGTAAAAAATAGAAACTATATATGTGTGATCATAACACTTCATATATTCATTACAGTTTAGTACTCTCATTTATATACCTGAGTTCAGAGGTGGTATATGGTATGTAAACATATCCCTTATTTGTTTGGGTTTAAGGGTCCCTTGAAAAAAAAATTTTTGATAATCACTGACTTAGAGGATTAGCATGATATGCAACACTTAGGCTAGTCAGACCAAGCAAGTCTTTTCTTTTGGCATATTAGTATCTCTGTAATGTACTGTGTGAAAACTCAGAAACTACTAAACAACCCAATTTCTTGCCAGCAAATTCATTTATCTGGTAACACATTCATTCCTGACAGCAGGTACCAAAATTATCTTTCTTGCGATGCCATTTGGAGCACTGGGAGTGATTTCTAATTCAAAAGCTTTCCAAAGGACATGACAATAAGGGAGGAACAAGTCATTTATATATCCTCAAAAGATCAGGAGAAAGAGAGACTAGTTCTACAGTTCTTAATCCTGTTCTAAATTTGGTTAGGAAAGAAACCCTTTTAGGAAACTTCTAATTCTTAACTATGGAGCAGAGAGAAGAAATATATACAGCTGTCAGACATAAGGTGTCTTCTTAAACACAAATCTTTGATAAGCAATTTAGGTTCCACTATAGACGAAAATAAATCATCCCTGACAATGATCTATGACAGGTTAGGACCAAGTAAAGTTTTCTCCAAAGTAAGAGGTAAAAGAAAGGTAACTGATTGTCCTAAGAACTCTAAGAGATGCCTAAGAAACTAAGATACCATTACTACCTTACTTCTGAGTTTGTAACAACTTCAAACAGGAACTCAATTTCCTCATGATCAAATAAACTGAGTTAAAAGCTGCAGTTTCCCATTCAAACGGTGGTGGTAACAAAATCTCTGCCTTATGAATGTATAGTATTTGTATATATATTCCATAATCTAAACAACACATCAATCCTGGGAAAGCAGGCCATTATTTCAATCCTTATTTTATAGATAACTATCTGCATATGCGATAAAGAAGACTTGTTCAAAATCACATCAGTAAGAAGCAGCATAGATGGAATCAGAATTAGTCTTTTTAACAATTCAATGCTATCCACAATTATGGAAGTATGAGCCTCCAGATTTAGAGGCATAAAACGAAACCAAATCCCCTTCTGAACAAGTTATACTACCATACTGATACAGAAGTACATTAGAAACACCAGGGACTTTAGAAGTAGATTTGTATTTCAATTCTGCTACTTACTGGTTTATAACCTTTGATACTCAGATTAAGGGGCAAGATATAACTATAAAAAGTTAAATGAGGAATTCATGTAAAGTGCTCACAGGAATTAATGTACAAGGGAGGTTTTTAATCTTGGCTACCTCATGTGACTTCATCTAACTTTCTGAACTTATTTTCCTCTCCCTTTCAGCGAGCAATAATTTAGGATCCTAGTTCCAGCATGGCTCCATCAAAAAGGTCTCTGGACACAGAACCCCACAGGGTTCTCCTCAAGAGACTGAGGCTTCTGAGCTGGGCACACAAGTTACTAGCTGGAGTTCTGCCTGTAATTATGAAAGACAAAGGGTCCAATTTCCTTTCCTTTTCACTTGTGGAAAAAGATATAGCTAAGGAAAAAAAAATTTTTAAGAGGTAATAAAGATAAGCAGACAAGGAAGAGGGGAAGTGAATAATTAATTACTTGGGGAAAACGTCCTGCTGACAAAGGATGGTTCACTGAAATAGTAGGAAAAGAGAGTCCAGCGAAAGGAAAGAATCTAATCACTCACTTAAATCCTAGGCAAAAGGCATACAGAAAAGTAGAGACCCATATCATGAAGACAGAAGATTTTAATAGCAGTTTACTGCAGAATCCAGTTTACCTTAAAGTGCTGCAAGAAAGTCTTGGACTGGGGAAGGCAAACATAAGAATAACCTATTTCCCCCTAAGAAAAAAAATGGCTATCATAGCCTCAGCTATAGTAAGAGAAATGACTTGTTTTTTCTAAAGAGCTTGGAAATACTAAATACAAAAGAAAAAAAGTTCAAGAAGCAGTAGAGAAAGGAACTTCATGAAATGAACCAGGAACTTCATTAATGAACCAGGAACTTCATCAAAAGAATAAAAAGGAAAAAAAATCATCCATATGGGCTCTTTCTTACAGAGAACACAGGCCTGTTTCCTTTACCCTCTATCACTAACCATAATCAAGCAAGAGCGGTCTGAAGACACTGAAGAAGCTGCTAAGGGGAGGAAACTGAAGGTTCACATGAGTTTTTCAGACATTCTAGAGGCTGGAAACATATGCTCCTCCCTTAGGTCATGTCTTCCAAGATAGTATCTTAATACCAAATGGCAGAACAGAGATATACCTACCAGCTGTCAGGGAGGTCTCAAAACCGTCTTTAATGAAACAGCTGAGACTCTCCTTCTTCATATAACTTTGAACTGCTGCTACAAGTGTAAAGGGTACTATTTCTTCCACTGGGAAGAAGGGCAGGAAAGACCAACAGGCAAATTAATGAATTATATATGGTTCCAATTTCAATTAGTCATCTGTTTCAAATGTTCTACTTTGATTGAAGTCATCAGTAGCCAATAGCGAAAGGAACATGAGTTTTAAATGTTCACAATCATAAGTAGGATGAAATCTCTTTTGTATTATAACCATCTATAAATAACAAGTATATTATTTAAATAACAAATCATGTTCTTCAGAAAAAACATAAGGAGACTCTGATTCATTAGTATGCTATTGTTCTGTGCAACTATAGACAAGTTATTCATAAATGCCTAACAAAGTCAAGACCAAAGCACTAACGTATACAATCTTTCTTTTAAGGAAAATTTAGATAACTTCTCCAAATTCCTATAATATCTTTTATGCTAATCTAATTCTGTAATATAGTCATGTTAAAATAAACATCATCAATCTGTTAGTGGCAATGGGGGAAGAGTAAAATAAATGAACTACTGGACATACCCTATGTAATATTTCTAAAACCTTTAATGCAGTATGAAGAAAACTGTTGAAAATTCTTCTCTCAGAAGGGGGAATGCCGATCTTGTAGAGTTTCAAAAGATGTACCACAACCTCCTTAAAAAGTTCTACAATCTTGAGGAATAGCGGAGGTTCAAGTACTGACCACCAGTTTTCTGTTATTAAAGGGTGAACACACAAATAAAATAAAATTTAAAAAGTCACAATTTTCAAAATCATACTGATTTTTCCTAAAGCAGTGGCTCTTAACCCTTTGAAAATCTCAAGAAGATACATGTACTATGATATATTATGTAACATTTCTAGGGTTGATAGACACTACTCCACATTCAAGTTAAATAATACGGTTCTAAAAGCTCTCAAAAGCAAAAATCAAGTAAAAAAGGTCTATTGAATTTACATTCTTAGCTTTCTAAGCTGTATTAAAAACTTAACCACTATCCCTCATATTAAACCAGGTGTTTCAAAGTGCTTTGTAAATTAGACGTTTAATTTTTAAAAACACTAAAAAACTGTATTGCTCCAGTATTTACAGGTATCTCCAACTTCTACCTGTCAACTTAAAGTTGAAATGTGAAGCACCACCTGAATGCAAGGTACTCCTAAATATCAAATACAGAAACTGAATAATGTAAAGTATGCCATGTCTGTCTTTCTCCATGTTCACTATTTATAGCTATTAACTACAAACATGACAGTCTTGTGCAGGAGACAGGAAAAGGAAAACTTCTGACAACATGGGAACAATAATTGTTGAGTCCCTGCTTCACTCTTCTAACCACTCACTGGCTCATTCCCTCAGATTCCAGGATTCTACCCACTGCTTGTTACTTCCTCTGCTCACTCTCAGCCTAAAACAACTTCTACTGATTTTATTACTCTTATGTATCTCAGACTGACATATCTAACAAATACTATTAGGAAGGAAGGAAAGCACCACTACTAAATGTAGCAGGCAAACTATAATAGCCAACAGATAGAGAGGAAATCTATACAATTAGAAAAATCAAAGTGAGAAACGTTTATGCCAAAAACCCACAGGAATAAGATCAAATGAAGAGTGGACTCACATAGAGAGACATCAGAAAATTAGCAAACAAGGCAAAGGGCTAATAAATAAAGTTCAAGGGGGATTTAATACCCAGGTTTGCTCAGGTTTAACTGTCCCCTTTCCTTTACTCTTTAACAATAAGATCACTCTGGAGTGAATGAGGAAGTTTCTGTTCAGTTGCTCAGTCATGTCTGACTCTTTGCGACCCCATGGACTGCAGCCCTCCAGGCTCCTCTGTCCATGGGATTCTCCAGGCAAGAATACTGGAGTGGGCTGCCATTTAGAGACATACGAAAAACAGTTTTTATCTTTCCTGATATTGTCTCCACCGTTGTGTTTGATCAAAATTTTAATATTTAACATGCTTTGCCTCCAACAACTCTTAACTAGCATCAGATGATTAGCAAAAAGTAATGAACTGAAAAACAGGTTTAACTTTCCCTGAGATTAATGTCAAAATAATTCAGGGTAACAAAATTTCAAACAGCAAAAAGTAAGAACTTAACGAGCATTTTCATTTAAAGAAAAAAGGTTACAAAAGAAAAAAGTATTAAAATTCTTACCAAGTACTTTCAGCGGTGCCTTTTCTAAGTTCACAAGAGCTGTACCAAAGGGAATTGCTATTGTGGTGAAATTGTTGGAATCGCTCATCAGGGGACATTCTGGCAGAGTAAGATAAAATCTCAATGCTTCAACATCAGGTAAGGAGCTAGTCAGTTTAGGAATAAGATTCTTTTCCAAGCTAGCTGCCACCTACATTTTGACAAAAAGTGAAATCTACTTCATTTAAAATGAACGCATATTCAAAAAAAACAGAGAGAAAAAGAAATTCTTATACCACAGGAAACATTAAATGGTGAAGGGAAAAGAAAAAAATAAACCATCTTATGATGAATCAATGAATGTACTCTGGCGCACAATGAAAATTAATGCATACACAATATAAGAGAATATTTTTTAATTATTTATTTTAATTGGAGGCTAATTACTTTACAATATTTTGGTGATTTTTACCATACACTGACATGAATCAGCCACGGGTGTACATGTGTCCCCCATCCTGAATCCTCCTCCCATCCCTCTGGTTGTTCCAGTGCACTGGCTTTGACAGTCCTGTTTCATGCATCAAACTTGGACTGGTCATCTATTTCACATATGGTAATAATATACATGTTTCAATGCTATTTGTAAGAGAATCTTAAAAATCTTATGTACAAATCTCAATTTAAACTCTCTGCATCTACAGCTATGTAGACTTAATCAACATGGTAATGTTAAGTAATTAAGGGTCTGCTCTGAACATCTGGAAAGATTTACAGATGTCTGACAGCTAAATTACAAACAGTTAAAAATAATACCTGATTTAAATTCTTACATTAGTTTATACAAAGACATCATAATAAAGTATATGAAACTGTAAAGTTAATCAGGCAACAAAGCTTTAGGATAACATGGAATAAAAAACTCAACAGGGAACATAATACAAATACAAAATACTTTAAAAACAAACCTGTTGAGATATCTGAGGATGATCAGGTTGTATAAGTTTGTGGAATAAAAGTCTAGCAGCATTCATATCAACACCTGAAAATCTAGCGCCCGTTCTATAGTGATCATCATTGCTATTGTTAAAAAAAGAGAGAGAAAAAAATGATAAAATAAGCTTTAAATTCATTTCATTTGTTTAATGACATTATTATTTAATATAATAAATTCAAAAAATTCAGTATAACAAAGAATTGTCACTTACCTAACAGCTAAAAAACTTCCATTCAGACAACCAGATGAAGAAAATGTTCCATCAATTTCACTAAAAAGAAATTTAAAAATCTCCAAATCACAAAATGAGAAATCTATTTACCTTCATTTTTTAATAAAAATTAAAGTTAAACTAATATTTAATGCTACAGAGCATTCCTCCAATCAACATTCAGAATAAATCAGAATTCTATAGATTACTATAGATTAAGTAAATCTTGATAGAAGTATTACTGTTCACCCTAGACTCTCTTGAACATTATCATCATCCTCAGATTCACCAAATAAATCTGATATTCCTAAAATAAATTTTTTTTTATAAATAAATGAACATTTAAGTTTCTTAATTCCACACAGTGGTAAATCTAATCTAGAAAGTTATTTTTCTGAAGACTACTCTTCAGGCTGTTAAGAAAAATTTTAGTTTGGGAACATAATCTAGAACTAAAAAATAGCTGATCAGCTACAATCCCTCATCCCAAATACCTACACCACCTTCAACAACAAAAATTTAAAGTACTAAACAAGTCCATCTGCAAGCAAAATATTCAAGAAGGAAGCAATACTCAACTCTTCCAGGAATACAGATGTTAAAACAAAAAGACCAGTATAAAGCCAGAAGGAACTTTTTTGAAAATCCAATCTCTAAAGCAGCTATATTTAATATTTTAAGAATGGCATATTCTTATATATTTTTATATATTTAAAGTATATAACAATTTTAAATGAGATCTCCTAAAATATCCATTATAGAAATTCCAGACATTCAAACTTCTGTATATAAACCATTCAGTAAATGATACTTAATGAAATATTTATTTAAATAAAACTTCTAAGTACAGGTTCCTCTACCATAGAGTCGAGAGATTTTGTCTTTGCATAGATAAAACATTTTTCTTACTTGGCTATCTCTACAGGAAATCTTCCAGAGGGGTAGCTGAGCCATTTTTGAATTAGAGCTTCATTCACAGTCCAGATCTGCTTTGAAGGATCAGGATATCTAAAGTCATCTGGTGGCCCACAGTTCTAAAGTTTAAAATAAGTAGATGAGTTTGAGGGAAGAGGATTATATACAAAGCATTCTGCATCTGGAAGTTAATCTCTACTACACACCTGAAAACAAAACTTGAAAAAAAACTGGAACAAAATCTTGTCAAATAGATTCGAAAATATTTGTAGACTTGAGGGAAAAAATTAAGGCCATTACTTTGTAACATATAAAGAATATTAATATGAAATTATCTGAGCTTATTAATTATTCATATGATTTCTATTACCTGGGGATTAGAATAATGTGAAAAGCTTTGATCTCCACCCGAGAAAATTCTTTTCACGCAGAAATATTCTTCAGAATCTGTAATAAAAATAAAATATTAAAAAATTCAAGATTTATAGATATATTTTTAGAGCATCAAATATGCTACTGGACTTTCTCTTAATCTCTAACTTAATGAGACCTCCCAATCATGGGCTCAATGACGCAAAATGACTGAGAATGTTGACCGACCAAGTTAATGGAACATTAAATGATCCCACAAGCACATCCAGCATTTGCTAAGCTTTTTGGTTGGTCTTTTTTTTCCTGATCCTAAGTTTTGTTTTGATTTGTTTTCCCAACTGGAGGATAAATTGCTTCACAATGTTGTATTGGATTCTGTTGTACAGTCTTCTTTTTGATGTGCATATCAAACAATGGCATTTTTTAATCTAGATCTTTATTATCTCAATATATTTTAAACTGATGACGGTGTAAAAACTGAATCAAAGGTATAAAAGATAGCTCGGAAGAAAATAAAAAGTAAGAATATTCATTTTGGGGAATTCCCTGGTGTGGTCAGGACTCAGCATTCTCATTGCTGTGGCCCAGAGTTCAATCCCGGGTTGGGTAACTAAGATCCTGCAAGTGTGTGGGACGTGGCCAAAGAAAAAAAGGAACAATCATTTTAAAAAGAATGACAACAAGAAACAAGTATCAGTGTATGTTAAATCTTCTTGGGTAATGCAAAATTCTTTTCTCTCTCAGCAAAGCTATATATACAAAAGTAAAGTGACACACACAGCTCTTTATTAGAAATTATTTATCAATAACATCCAAATCAGGTCCAAAAATATAAATATTAATAAATTTAGTAGAAATAGAAGAAGAAACAATAAAGTCCCTTTTCAAAAAGACATTCAAAGCCTCTTCCTCTTTCTCCTCTTCTTTATCTCAAAATGGAAAGACTATATTAACAAACGTATCACTAGACTAGTATTTATAAGTATCACATACCAAAACACTATAGTGCTACAATGTAACTTAAGGCTTTGTTGCTGTTGTTGTTTAGTCTGTAAGTCATGTCCAACTCTTATGCAACCCCATGGACGGTAGACCACCAAGCTCCTCTTTCCATAGCATTTCCCAGACAAGAATGCTGGAGTGGGTTGCCATTTCCTCCTCCAGGGGAATCTCCTCAACCCAGGGATAGAAACCACGTTTTCTGGTCTCCTACACTGGCAGGTGGGTTCTTTACCATTGAACCACCAGGGAAGCCCAGCTTAAGTCTAGTTATTTCCAAACATAATCCACTTCTGTGTTCCTACTCCTGACCCTCCACTCTTCAGCTGACTAGACTAATTCTTCACCTGTATTATTTGTGACCATCACTGCTACAGAATTATGAAATTCTTAAGGAAGGGATCACATCTTAATTTCCTTGGATCATTCCCTACTATTAAGCATAATGTTTTATTTGTAAAAGCACCGAGTAAATGTTTTATAATATAAAAATTACCTAGCTTAGAAAATACCAATAGTAAGAGCTTCAGAGATCGTAACATTAATGACCAAATTTTCCACAACAAGAATGTTCTAAGGTCAAACATTTTAAAGAACAGATTGAAAGGGTAAATTTAAAATATTAAATAAACCAATAATTCAACTTAAAATCTTTTCTCTACATCATCTTCACAAGTCCACATGAAGTCATGCACTTTCTTCAAAAGACTGAGCAAATGTTATTCATTTGCTTCTAAAAGGTGATTCTGCCCTCTTTAAATAATCGTCAAGTAAATGGATAGACTAGAGTACATGAATAGGTTTCTGGAGGCTGTGAATAAGTCACCAAAAATTATTTTCCTTAATTTTCTTTTAATTACAACTCTAAAAACGTCTGTGGAACCTAGTCATTTGTCCTACGCAGCTTCCTGCAGATTGGATTTTGGTGATTATATCCTTGAGGATTCTCCTAACATTTTCCTCAGCCTTCTGTATATTTCTATAAATTAGTAGTTGGATCTAGAGAGGATTTCATTAGATTAATTACTCAATTATTTTGACGAAACTATTACATGGTAGTGGAAAGGGCTATTCTTCATCAGGAAGCACATAATATATGGTTGTGTTCCTTTTTGTGATGTTAGTAACCACTGACACCCACAGACCATTAATTCATTGTGGGCTGAAAAATGATACACTAATATTACTTCCTCATCTTATGGTTGGACCATTAGCACCCCCTTATCCACCACATTGCCCTGTAATAGGAAAAATTAATGCTTGTTCTTTTCCACTTATTTATTATTGCTTGGCTTTTTGAATTTGCATTTCTCTTTGATGATAATTTTTACATGTTTCTTAGTAACCTGGATTTCCTCACTGGGAATTTCCATTAACTACCTTTATCTATTACACATCTAAATGTTTGTCCTATTTACTAGGTATTTTACTATTTTTCACACCAATATATATGAGTACTTTGGCTACTATCTCAGGTTATATCTGTTACATTTTTCCTAAATAATTATTTAATTTCAACTCAGATTTTCTTCCATTAAATCAAATGTATTTGTTTCATTCTTTATGATGTGTTTCATTGCCATAATGCTAAGAAATGTGTTTCCCATCCTCAAATTACAGAATTGTCTTAAGAACTTTTTAATATTTAACTTTAATCCATCTATAATTTCCTTTAGAATATGTTGTTAGTTTAGGATCTAAACTGACATTTTCCTACCAATTCTCATGTGTTGAGTAATTCTTTCCCCTTCTCCACATATTTATTAGTGACGTCCTGTTTTAAAGTTATGAAGAGACAATATACCTCTTTTACCTATAACACACAACCCTCAACAACTTTGGCACTCCTCTCCACCCCAAAAGTGTCCTCAAAGTCCTTCTCATAACTTCCACTTCATAAGGTCCTTCCTATAACTCCAAGAGAAACTGCCAATCAACTGCAGTTTGAATCTGAAACAAAACCTATATACAATGCCAATACATGGATCCTCCTCTCCCTCCCCAGGATCTCCCTTAAACTATAATAATCTAAATGTCTGTTTTACCAATAATCAGATTTAACTGTTATAGTTTTATGATATACATTGTCACATCTAGGCGGGCTAGTTCACCTTCTCCTCATTCTCTACAAAATACATTGTCAGGAAAAACTGAGAAGACTTTGAAATAGGCTCTCCTGAACTCCCTTCCCCATTTACCGAGTCTTGTTTAGGGCACCCTTCAGAAACATAGTTACCTAAAAGGTGTCTCTGAGCTACTCACAATTCTGTAAAGCATACTATTTAGGAGCAATACTGACAGAGATACAACTATGTACGTGCCTTTGATTTACAAGGAAAAGTAGTTTTTGATGATCTCTCAATCCCTTTGCACACTTAGGACTTATTCAGAATCCCAAAGGGCTTAAAAGCACTAATATATACCATATCAGAATGGAAAATTAAGAGATTTAAAAAATACTCATTGATTTATTTGAAAATGAACAAGAACAAAAGCACTGCATATTAACACAGACAACATTTTAGTACTAATATGAAAGTCATTTTAACTTCATGGACCCTCTGAGACAATACGACTGCCCTTGAAAAACTATCAGCTTGTCCACAACATGGAAGAGCATAACTGAAGACACAGCATGCTAAGTGAATTTTATCTGCCTCGGTTTATATGTGACTATGAAAAAGGTTTTCAATATGTTAAAATCTTAGCAAAGTCCACTTCAATTTTAAGGGTGTGTTCCCATACCTTCACCTATATGTTGTTCTTTACTTTTGTGTAATCTGCCAAAGAGCAAAAATTCTGCATCTTACTAGAATAACTTTCTATACTACATGTCAATTTTATTGTCTTTCATTATTTAAGGGGAAAAAAAGAACCAAGACTCCTCACTTATGAATAAGCTAAAGTTCTTTTCAATCACATTACCATTTACATTTATTTTGAAATGTTTTAATTTCACTTCAGTAAAATAGGTAACCAGGTATTATTTCTCAAGCATCAAAGGTTACATCTTTTAACAAAGTGTTCCAACGTTCTTTCACAACTTTTCTGATTTCTGTCTTCCTGTTATGGGCTGAACAGTTTCCCCTGCTCAAATTCATATGTTGAAGCCATAAGCCCCAGTACCTCAGAATATGGCTGCATTTGGAGACAGGGCCTTCAGAAAGGTGACTAAGGAAAAATGAGACTGTTAGGATGGTGTCCTAATCCAACATTCCTGCTGCCTTTACAAGAACAAGAAGAGACACGAGCAAAATACATACACACAAACACACAATCATACAGTAAGAAGGTAGCCGTTTGCAAGCTGTCTTTATAAGAAGAAGAAGAAACAACAGCAGCTCACACGCATACACAGTCACACAGTAAGAAGGCAGCTGCTCACAAGCTATCCTTATAAGAACAGGAAGAGACACCAGCAACTCACACACATGGTCTTACAGTAAGAAGGCAGCCGTTTGCAAGCCAAGGAGGGAGGCTTCAGAAGAAACCACACCTGCTGACAGGGTAATCCTAGACATCTAGCTTCCAAAACTGTAAGAAAATCAAGTTCTGCTGTTTAAGCCACCCAATCTGTGGTATTTTGGCAGTCTTAGCAAACTAACACACTTCACCAAATCACATCCTAAACACAGAAAAATAGAACTTCCAGATACTTTACATTTGTTAGTGAAAATTCCTTTGAGATATCCCAGAGAGGCTATGGAGAATCACAAAGATCTGCCATTTCAACATATAAGAAGAGATGCTAGAAATAATTAGGCTGATTTGATGTGTTACTATTGTTAAAGAATTGCATGGGAAGAGTTGTCAAATCAGAAGGTACTCAACCTTCCATAGGTTAAATTTCTTTGGTAAATGTAAATATAAAATTTTCACTTCTCTCAGTTCAATTCAGCCATTTAGTCGTGTCTGACTCTTTGCAACCCCACGAATCGCAGCACACCAGGCCTCCCTGTCTATCACAAACTCCTGGAGTTTACTCAAACTCATGCCCATCGAGTTGGTGATGCCATCCAGCCATCTCATCCTCTGTGGTCCCCTTTCTCCTCCTGCCCCCAATCCCTCCCAGCATC